TTATAGGCATCAGCCACTGCTCCCAGTCCTTCCTTCCTTTAAGCTGTTATGTTGTGAATCTTCTCAGTAAATCATTTCACTCTCAAGTTACTTGACAAGGCCATAAGTTTACCTCTACAAAATTGTTGGTGACAAAAATTTTTGAAAATTCTTTTCCTGATTGCCTTCTTTGTGTATAAAGAAGGGAATGAAGCCAGGCTCAGCCTGTAATCCCGCGTCTTTGGGAGGCTGAGGTGAGTGGATTGCCTGAGCCCGTGGGTTCGAGACCCGCCTGGGCAGACGAGACCTCATCTCTACAATAAAATAAAAAAATTAGCCGGGCGTGGTAGCGTGCGCCTGTAATTCCGGCTACTCGGAAGGCTGAGGCGGAAGGATCACCGGAGCCTAGCAGGTCGAGGCTGCTGTGGCCAAGAGCGGCCACTTCACTCCGGTCTGGGAGACAGAGTGAGAATCCAACTCAAAAAAAAAAAGAAGGGAATGAAGTTACTAATAAAGGCATCATAGTTAATGGTGTGGGTTATGGAACTATACTGGCTGGGTTCAAAATGTTATGTTATAGTTGCCAAGTTGCTTGGCACCCTAAATGCCATATTCTAATGGATTTTAAATAGGATCACATGCCCAAAATTGTAATCCTGATTGATACGGTTTCAGATGTAGAGAACCAGTTTAAAAAGACTGGGCCTAATGAGGTGATGAGGTCCTAATCTAAGGCAGTTGTAAAGGAGTAATGGGAATGAGTCTGAAAAATTAATTAAGATTCGGTGTAGGTTTACAGGATCCTTGGTCTTTGTTTACTCTCGATTCCCCGGTGCTTCAGCGCCGTGTCTGACATACAGCATGAATATGGATATATAACATGGACATTTATTGAATCCAGTAGGTAGTGGGAAATATCTGAATGTAGTGTTCTTTTGTTTTTATATTATTTGTTGAATATTGGAATCACATATACAGTATTGATTGTGTTACTTTGTGCCAGCAAGTCTTACTAATAAGACCTTTAGGGATTTTTGTCCCTGTGTTAAATGTTCCTAAACTGTTTATATTTTATATATCTTGGGCTTTGCTTTTTACTTTTCCTGTTTGTCAGTGTTTGGTCCTATCTTGTGCTTTTTGTGTTCTTTTGTTTGCTAACTTTATGGTTTTGTTATGTAACTTAGAAGCAACCTGTATAGCCCGGGCGACTGAGTGAGACGCTAATTCAAAAAAAAAGATAGGAAAAATAGTTCCCTGAAGCTCCCTTTCTTTTAACTGCCTAGATTTGTGTGTGGCTTCCTCTCCCTCTTTTTCTTGTTTAGGTGACTTACCTGTATGGTGATGGGTAGTTGGACATCTGGAGCATCTTTGCTCTGGAGCAAAAAACAAAATTCAAAATCAAATAACCAACTACAGTGCAGCAAAAATTAAGTACAGTGTATTCCCATCTTATTACATTTAGTGGAGGGAGGAGGGAAAGGGGTTTAGGAGATAGAGGGAATAGTGATGAGAAAGTTGGTTGTTACTTTATTTCCTAACTTTGGTAGCAGAACTCTAAGGGACATAGAAAAACAAAAGTCAGAGTCTGTTGGTCAGAGTAACCAAAAGTGTCAGGAGTCAGTATAGTCTGTATTTGAGCGCACTCTGTGGTAGACTATGGGCTCTAATACAGACTATACTGACTTATGATCCTTCCAAGTAGCTGGGACTACAGGTGTGCACCATCATGCCCGGCTAATTTTTTTAGTTATTGTAGAGATGAGATTTTTCCAAGTTGCCCAGGCTGGTCTCGAGCCTGTGAATTCAGCCAGTCCTGTTGCCTGTGCCTCCCAAAGTACTAGGATTATAGGCATGAGCCACCGTACCTGGCCCAGGGCTTACATTTTAACAGATTGTTTTAGGTTGGGCAGGGTGGCACCCACATGTAATTCTAGCACTTTGGGAGGCTGAGGTGGAAGGATTGCTTGAGCCCAGGAATACATATACATTTTTTTGAGTTGGTCTCACTTTGCCTCTGAGGCTAAAATGCAGTGGCATGATCATAGCTAACCACAGCCTCAAACTCCTGGGCTCAGGTGAACCTTCTGCCTCAGCCTCTCAACCAGCTGGTACTACAGGCATGCACCAGAACACCCAGCTAATTTTTTTTCTTTTTTTTTTTGGAGAGATGAGATTTTGCTGTTTGCCCAGGCTGGTCTCAAACTCCTGGGCTCAAGTAATCTTCCCACCTCAGCCTCCCAAAGTGCTGGGATTATGAGCCACTGCGCCTGGCTGAAACCAGGAATTTGAGACCAGCCTGGGCAATAATAGTGAGGGAGATCTCATCTCTTTAAAAAAAAAAAAAAAAAACTGTCAAATTAGCCGGGTGTGGTAGTGCAGTACGCGCCTGTAGTTCCGGCTACTCGGAAGGCTGAGGCGGAAGGATCGCCAGAGCCCAGCAGGTCGAGGCTGCGGTGGCCGGGAGCGGTGTCTGCAAACTCAAAAAAAAAAGCTCTAAAACTGTGTAGAATAGACATATGCTTCATACAGAGAGGCAGTAACAATTGAAATTACAAGTCTGAGTAGAATTTGCAGGGGTTTTTTTTTTTCTTTTTTAATTTTTTTTTTGTGTGTGTGGATATTGAGTAAGATACCATAGAGAGGTATAGTCAAGCCTTATGGCCCTGATATACCTACTTTGGGTTTGTGGGGCCCCCCCCTTGCATTAATGGAGACACATGAAAACAAGGCAGACAAACGTTTTGGACATAATGTATACAAGCAGTGATGAAAAGTTTGCATTAAGACAGCGACAAGCCGAACTCAGTGGCTCATCCTGTAATCCCGCACCTTTGGGAGGCTGAGGTGAGTGGATCGCCTGAGCTCGCGGGTTCGAGACCCACCTAGGCAGCAAGACCTCATCTCTACAATAAAAACAAAAAACAAAAAAAAAACAGCCGGGCGTGGTAGTGCTTGCCTGTAATTCCGGCTAATCAGAAGTCTGAGGCAGAAGGATCGCTGGAACCCAGCAGGCGAGACTGCGGTGGCCAGGAGCGGCCACTGCACTCCAGTCTGGTTGACAGAGTGAGACTCCAACTGAAAAAAAAAAAAGACAGCGACAGTGTGTAGGGAGACATGAGAAGAATTTATGTGTGTATGTGTTTAGAGGTAGAATTTAAGAATCCTGTGATAGGACTGGATCTGGCAGAGGAGTGAAAATTCAGCATATCCTGTAGCTATAGAATCCTGAGTTAGCTTTCTGGAGGCTCTGTGTTTCTAGTAGGTGATGATTGATCTATAGTTGAGATCCTATGTGGAAGAATAGGATTGAACAGAAGGGAGAGGTAGCTTCAGACTTTATATTTAGGGCATGAAGTTTATCCTGGTTCAGTATTGTCCTATGACAATTTTATTTCTTTCAGATGTTTGAATTATTTAAAGTAATTTTTAAATAATAATTTTCAGAGATTAATAAAACTGCATTTCATCCTCGTTATCAGTGAAACATTTGGCTTTTGAATAATAAATATTCTGTTCTTTTTCAGTTAATCATTACATAATATGATGGCTCTAGGTGAACTTAATGTAAACATAGTAAAGAAACGACTTTTAAAAATACATAGGGGGAAAAAGAAAAGAAAGAGAGAAAAAAGAATGAAACAAAAAAATAAGAACTGTTAGAGGTTGCCACATTACTTTAAGGTCCAAACAGTTAACTTAATAAAGAAGCTAAGTTGAAGAATGCTGTGGAGTCTGGAGTTTTTCATGCTCTATCTAAAGGGTTTAGAGTCAAAAGTTATTAAAAACATTATTATCAGTGTCCCTAAATAAAAACGGTCATATCAATTTTTTATGTTTTATATAAACGTAAAAATACTTCTGGAGTAAGTATTCAGATGCTTTGACACAAAAAAAATCTAATGTATTTAAGGGTTAGATGACTTGTTAAGCTGAATTAGCTATAGTTAGTTTGTATATTTAAATTAAGGAGCTTAAACATGATGTCATGTAGACTTTTTTTTTGGTTGACACGGTGTCTCACTATATTGCCCAGGCTGGTCTTGAACACTTGACCTCAAGTAATCCTCCTGCCTTGGTCTCCCAAAGTGCTGAGATTATAGGCATGAGCCACTACATCCGGCCTGTATGACTTTTTTTGAGTTGGAGTCTCTCTCTGTCGCCCAGGCTGTAGTGCAGTGGCACTCTCACAGCCACTCCACCATCAACCTGCTGGGCCCCAGTGATCCTTCCGCCTCAACCTTCCAAGTAGCTGGAACTATGGGCGCTTACTACTACGCCCGGCTAATTTTTTATTTATTGTAGGGACGAGGTTTCGCCATGTTGCCGGGCTGGTTTCAAACCCATGGGCTCAGGCAGTCCACTCACCTTGGCCTCCCAAAGTGCTGGGACTACAGGCTGAGCAGCTGAGACCAGCCCTGTGTGACTTTTAATGGAGATTAATGGCAAGCCTTGTTTAGCAGATAGAGTTAAAACAAGATAATTAAAAGCATTTCTAAAATATTTTTGAATATTTACGAAAATAGCTCTATAAATTTACTGTACCCAAGGCCCCTAAATCTTGTTCTTAATCCTGAAAGTAGGTTTTCATTAGCACACTTTTTGTATAGTTTTTTCTAATATAAAAAGGGGATTTTCAGCCGGGCTCGGTGGCTCAGCCTTTAATCTCGTGCCTTTGGGAGGCTGAGGTGAATGGATTGCCTGAGCCCACGGGTTTGAGACCCACCTAGGCAACTTGGCGAGACCTCATCTCTACAATAAATCAAAATGAACCGGGTGTGGTAGCGAGCGCCTGTAGTTCCAGCTACTTGGAAGGCTGAGGCGGAAGGATTGCCGGAGCCCAGCAGGTCGAGGCTGCGGTGGCCGGGAGCAGCCAGTGCACTCCAGTCTGGGTGACAGAGTGAGACTCCAACTCAAAAAAGAAAAAAATTGTCTTTCTAAATTAGGAAGTGAAATAGGAAAGAGACTAATTATGTCCTCATAAAATGAGGACTAAAATTTGATTTTCCTCTGCTTTCTTTTAGATGGGAATGATGAATAATCCCAATCCTTACGGTTCACCGTATACTCAGAATTCTGGACAGCAGATTGGAGCCAGTGGCCTCGGTCTCCAGATTCAGACAAAGACTGTACTACCGAATAGCTTATCTCCATTTACTATGGACAAAAAAGCAGTTCCTGGTGGAGGAATGCCCAATATGGTGAGTACCTATCGATTACAAATTTGTTTTCAGACTGGCGTTTTGATAAAAGAATTGTGTTAGACTTTCACGCACTCTACAATTTATACTAGGATCAAAAGTTATTAAAAATATCATTATCAGTAAAATACTGGGAACCTAAATCGATGTGTATTGGATGCTCCCTATGAATTAGGAGGCTTGTTCCTTCTTTCCATTTCACTTTGTGTTTTGTTCCCTGAGGTTATTGATTAGCTTCAATAGAAGTATCTGGGCTCCTATAATGAAGTTTTAGGCACCTACCGTTCTTCAGCTTTGGTTTGTGAGCATTTCTGTAGAATAAGAAAACGGATCCTTTCTCCTTGGGGAGAGGATTATATTGTTTTATTCTACTGTACAAAAGTAACTTCCCTCTCAGAATTTTTATATTGCTCTAAAAAGTGGTTTTTGTTACAGATAATTTTTGGAAACTTCTAATATTGTTATTTTTTAAAAGTAAAAATATTTCTAGTTGTAAACTTGTCAAATAGCCTGTATTCACCATTGGAAAAATATTATTCTATAATAATTTTATTTTTCTTCCAGATGTTTTAGGTTTTTCTTTGTGTCATAATATTCAATAATGCCTATAGATGCCTCACTTTCCCTCTTCTACTGGTGTTTATTGTGTCCTTTTCTTCGCTTTTTCTCTGTTTATTATAATCCTTTGATTATATCACAGTTTATTTTCTTACTGAATTGAGCCTCTTTCTTTTTTTTGTTTTGTTTTGGTTTTTTTGAGTTTGATTCTCACTCTCACCAAGGCTGGAGTGCAGTGGCATATTCTCATGGGTACCATAGCCTCAACCTGCTGGGCTTAGGTGATCCTTCTGCCTCAGTCTTCAAAACAGCTGGAACTATAGGCATGGGCCACCACTCCCAGACAATTTGTTTTTTTCTTTCTTATTTTTTGATTTATTGTAGAGATAAGGTCTTGCCATGTTGCTCAGGCTGATCTTGAACCCATTGACTTAGGCAGTCCTCTTGCCTCCACCTCCCAAAGTTTGGGAATTACAGTCATGAGCCACTAAGCCCAGCCTGTATTGAGCTTCTTGATGGCAGGCACCATTGATTATTTATATTTGAATTTTCTGTGTCAAGAAATGGTATCTGTTATGTAGTAAACCAACCATAAAAGTTTTAATTGAAAATATCCAAGTATCTGTTTATTAGAAGATAGATAGCACACTCTGACACCTGCCATTAAATGTGTCTTTATTGTTATATCCCTAGGGCCAACAACCGGCCCCACAGGTCCAGCAACCTGGCCTGGTGGCTCCAGTCGCCCAAGGGATGGGATCTGGAGCACATACAGCTGATCCAGAGAAGCGCAAGCTCATTCAGCAGCAGCTTGTTCTCCTTTTGCATGCTCACAAGTGCCAGCGTCGGGAGCAGGCTAATGGGGAAGTGAGGCAGTGCAACCTTCCCCACTGTCGCACTATGAAGAATGTCCTAAACCACATGACACACTGCCAGTCAGGCAAGTCCTGCCAAGGTGAGTAGATTCACAGGGTTACTATACTTAACAATTAACAAAATTAACAATTTTTACAGTAAAGGAGAAGAGAGAAAACATGTTCGTCTATTTTGAGATGATATGTTTAGTATTTGGAGTGATAGCATGTTTAGTATTTGATTGGAGTGATAGTATTATAGGTGAATATATATGTCCAAGTGCATCAAAAAGTACATGTATACAAAAGCATTTTTTCTATGCAAGTTTACCTTAATAAGGTTTTTAAAAAACATTCCATTGTCTGGATGTACCACAATTTATCCATTCACCTGGTAAAGGATATCTTGACTGTGTCCATTTTTTGACAGTTATGAATAAACAAAGTCAATTTTGAAACTCCCTTAATGATAGTTTCTTACTTCATTTTAGGAAATGATAAAAATTAAGTGTAATTTTGAGTGAGTGAGTAGGGATGTGGAAAGAGAGAAAATTGCAAAAATCTTCCCTTTTGTGCTGATTTTAATAGACTTTGATTTGCCCCAGCGTAGCGACTTTAATGTTATGAGGGCTTGCTAACTATCATGTAGGTAAATATCCAGTTTTTTATATTTTCACTCAATCAGTTTTACCCAAGTTAATACAATTTGTGTGTGGAGTAATTAAAAACTTTTTATGGTATGTGTCATAACATTGATTTAGAATACCTTGTAAGGTAGGTTGTGTGTCATAGTGGTAAGAAATGAGGGCTCTAGAGCCAGACTGCTTGAGTTTGAATCTTTGTGCAAATTTCTTAACCATTTTTTTTTTGTGCCTATTTTCTCAGCTGTAAATTCTGAATTTTAGTAGGAGCTACCCTGTAACCTATTGTTATGAGGATGAAATGAGTTAATACATTTGTAGCATTTGTTATGTGGTCAATAAGTTACCTGTTATTAATGTAAAAATATAACCTGCTCTTAAGGAAAAAAAATTTTCTTCTCTTTAGTGGCACACTGTGCATCTTCTCGACAAATCATTTCACACTGGAAGAATTGTACAAGACATGATTGTCCTGTGTGTCTCCCCCTCAAAAATGCTGGGGATAAGAGAAATCAACAGTGTAAGTGAAGTCTTTTGATGGTTTATATCAAAAGTATTTTTTAAATCTCACCAATGACACTTGATACTATTTAGGATACTTCTTGTGCATCTTTTTTGGAACATTTTAGATTTTGAGGTCCCTGTAAGTACCTGGTGTTGTACAATGTTGAAGAAATGGTTTTTTCTTTTTCTGCTTCCTTATTAATGCATAGAATTTTTTTTTTTTTGAGTTGAAGTCTCACTCTGTTGCCCACGCTGGAGTGCAGTGGCATGCTCACGGCCACTGCAGCCTCGACCTGCTGGGCTCAGGCAATCCTTCCACCTCAGCCTTCCAAATAGCTGAGACTACAGGCGTGCGCCACCATGCCCAGCTAATTTTTTTATTGTAGAGATGAGGTCTCACCAAGTTGCTCAGGCTGGTCTCGAACCTGTGGGCTCAGGCAGTTCTCTCATCTTGGCCTTCCAATGTGCTGGGATTATAGGCATGAGCCACTGCACCTGGCCTCGTGTGTAGAATTGAACTGCTTATGGAGTTCAAGGTTGCTATGAACTGTGACCACACCACTGCACTCCAGTCTGGGCGACAGAGCAAGACCCTGACTCTGCTAAAAATTATTAAGAATAATTTTTTTTTTTTTTGAATTGGAGTCTCACTCTGTCACTCAGGCTCACTCATGGCCACCATAACCTCCACCTGCTGGACTCAGGTGATCCTTCCGCCTCAGCCTTCCAAGTAGCCGGAATTACAGGCATGCGCTACCACGCCCAGCTGATTTTTTTTTTTTATTTATCGTAGAGATGAGGTCTCGCTGCCCAGGCAGGTCTCGAACCTGCGGGCTCAGGCAATCCACTCACCTCAGCCTCCTAAAGGCGCGGGATTACAGGCTGAGCCACCGAGCCTGGCTCATATTCATTTCTTATAAAAGCATTAGCAAGTGAATTTATGCACCATTTTGAGTGCATGAAAATGTAAAGATTATTGCTTTGGTATTGGGCAAGTTATTCTTTTATGCCTGTGACCTGCATAATCCAATAATTGGAAATTATTTAAACAAGGCTGAGGGTTTTTTTTTTTTTTTTAAATAATCTTGTGATAGAACGTTTTTCAGAGAAAAGACAAGCCAGAAGAAAAAATAAATTACATTTTAAAAGTGCATCTACACATCTCTCTAGCAAAAAAACATTAAGCATTTAGGATTAAAAAACAGTTTTGGGAAGTACATGTACAACATGTGAAAGGGGAATTAAATTTTATGGATTAATGAAAAAAATAAAATAACCCAGCAGAATATTGGGAATGGGAAATAGTTTACTAGATGGGGGAAACCCAACACAGTTCACTTTCTTTTTTTGAGTTGGAGTCTCTCTCTGTCACCCAGTCTGGAATGCAGTAGTATACTCACGACCAGCCTCAACCTGCTGGGCTCAGGTGATCCTTCTGTCTCAGCCTTCCAAGTAGCTGAAACTACAGGCGTGCGCCATCATGCCCAGCTAAATTTTCTTAATTTATTATAGAGATGAGGTCTCACCAAATTGCCTAGGCTGGTCTCGAACCGTTGGACTCAGGCAGTCCTCTCCCCTCGGCTGGAATTATAGGCGTGAGCCACCACACCCAACCAGTTCATTATTAAGTTAAGAAATGAAGTAAGATACCATTTCTTCTGTCACGCTGGCAGAAATAGAAATGATGCTGCCTGGTGTTAGCGTTTGTATGGCTCTCAAGCATTCATACACCATTCATGGGGACATTGATATATTGCCTGTGAGGAGGCTATTTGATATTGAGGACCAAAAACCTTTCATACCAGTGATCTCCTTTGACCAAGTAGTTCTTCATCTAGAAATTTTTCCAAGGAGATAAACTCCATGTACTAAGATGTTTCATAACCGCATAGCAGTAATTTTGTGTTTCTTGAAATTTATTCAAGGCATGTTATCCTTTTTATTCTCATCAAATTTAATGTTATAATACCACATATTTTGTCTTCTCTAGCAATTTTGACTGGAGCACCCGTTGGACTTGGAAATCCTAGCTCTTTAGGGGTGGGTCAACAGTCTACACCCAGCTTAAGCACTGTTAGTCAGATTGACCCTAGCTCTATAGAAAGAGCATATGCAGCTCTTGGACTACCCTATCAAGTAAATCAGATGCCGACACAACCCCAGGTGCAAGCAAAGAACCAGCAGAATCAGCAGTCTGGGCAGTCTCCCCAAGGCATGCGGCCCATGAGCAACATGAGTAAGTTTGTGTCATTACAGTAAACATATGATATTGATTGCATGTGTAAGTGGCATCTATAAATACAGGGTTAGCTTTCTAATTTGTTATATTCTTTCTCCTCTTTGCTGTGTGAGTTTTTGAAGTAATTATTTTAAAATTGCAGTGTAAAAGTCCCCTTACAATTCATCTACTAGAGGTAACAGTCACTGACACGTATTCCTTTTTTGCATATGCAAATTTAAATTTGTAGGAATGAGATCCCATGTATTCTATAACACTTTCTTTAACACTGTGTCAACATCTTTCTTAATCAGTACCCAATGTTTCCTTTTAAATGGTTATATAGTATGTCATTAAATATAACAGTCTATTATAGATGGACATCGAGGTTTCCTGTTATTTTGCTGTTTTACACAGTGCAGCAAATTGTTTTGGCTTGAGGTATTGTTTTGGCTTGAAATGTATATATAAATGAGTGTGGTTGTTAGTATAGATTTCCATATACCTGGCAGGAGAAATAATGTGCCTTTTGAGTACACTTGTTTGCCTCATTTCTTCCTATATGACTGAGAGGAGGGAAGGAGAAGAGTGAGAAGTATTCCAGTATCCTGATTTTGGATATATTATGTTTCTCTCATTCCATATAACATAAAAGAGCCTTGTCCCACAACTGTCAAGGCGAGAAGATTGCCTGAGCCCATGGGTTCAAGACCAGCCCGGGAAACTTGATGAGACCTCATCTCTACAGTAAATCAAAAAATTAGCCGGGTGTGGTGGCACACGCCTGTAGTTCCAGCTACTTGGAAGGCTGAGGGAAAGGATCACCTGAGCCCAGCAGGTCAAGGCTGCGGTGACTGTGAGCATGCCTCTGTACTCCAGTCTGGGTAACAGAGTGGGACTCCAACTCAAAAAAAAAAAAAAAAAAAAATGGAGGGAGGCAGACCCCTTGTAGTACAGGCTTCCCTAATAGTTAAGTTTTCTAGGAATCCATTGGCACCGGTGTACCAGTTAGCATTGTTGTGAGAGGTTGCATTCAATGATTTTTGGGGGGAGATTCTTTCAACACATTTTCCCATTTCATGATGGGTGGCTTACAAAGAAGTGCACCTGCCCACACAGGGAAGAGTGTTCAAAAATGGCATGACCCCTGTGCCCCAACTCTCCCTAATTCACCTGATCTTGCCCCAGGTAACTTTTTTTTGTTTCCCCGATGAAACAAGTCTCAAAGGGAAACGTTTTGCTGATGTGGAAAGGGGAAACAAAAAATTGCAGAAGCACTAAAAGGCAACCAAATTGATGAGTTCAAAAACTGTTTTGAGCAGTGGAAAAGTGTCTCGATAGGTATATTGCATGAAACAGCAAGTACTTTGAAGGTGACTGAAGTTTAAACATGTAAAAACAAATACTTTTAAATAAATTCCAGTTTTATTGGGTTCCCCTTGTATATAAAGTAGCCTTACAAACTTGTAAGAAAAAGATGAATAATACAACAGGAGAGGAACAGGCAATTCACAAAAAAAGAAATACAACAGCAGCCTTACAAAAATGCAAATATTCTCAGCTGTACTTACGTAAACTTAAAATGTTTTTCATGTATTAAATTGTAAAAACTTTTATTTTTATTTATTTATTTATTTGTGTTGGAGTCTCACTCCATCGCCCAGACTGGAGTGCAGTGGCCCTTCCAGCCACCGCAGCCTCGACCTGCTGGGCTCCGACAATCCTCCCGCCTCAGCCTTCCAAGTAGCTGGAACTACAGGCGCGCTACCATGCCTGGCTAATTTTTGATTTATTGTAGAGATGAGGTCTCGCCAAGTTGCCCAGGTGGGTCTTGAACCTGTGGGCTCAGGCAATCTACTCACCTCAGCATCCCAAAGGTGCGGGATTACAGGCTGAGCCACTGAGCCCGGCTAAATTGTCAAAACTTTTAAAAGTTGGTATTCTAAAACCAAGTTTTGAGAAGGGTATGTGTAAAAACATTTTCAACCAAAATGCACAAATGTATAAACTGACAATCTCTTGGAAGGGCTATCTAAAACTGTTAACACATACAAACATTCCACAAGTTAGAATTTTCACTTCTTTTTTTGTTTTTTGA